GGAGAACCTAAAGAAAACCTTCATAGCAAAGGAGAGAACAACACATTAAACAAACTCAATTCACATGTGGCGACCACAGGGCTCAAACCAGCTACTTGACCCATTGGACTCACAGCGGTGAAGACAAYGTGTTATCTGTGAATGCCACCCATGCTACCCAAATATAATGAATGCAGTCTTATATAGTAAACCAACAAATTTCCAATGGTTTGTCTGCATGGTATGTCTTCTTATTTACCATTATATGACGTGAACAGTTGGTCAAAATATTACGTACCCAAATTTTCCGCTGTCAAAAAGTTCTGAAGGAATTTATTTATAAACAGTTCCAAAAATTCATTGAAATTTCATTAACAATCATTTAAACTTTAAGTACTCTTAACCATTTTTAAAACAAACGTCTCATTTTGCTGAAAAAGGAACGTATAAAAGAACATCATGACACTGTATTGCTATGGTAACTTGGATTGTGATGAAGTGTATACCCTTGAATCTATCTCTAGACTAGCCCGAACTTTTTATTTGAATTTTCAGCAGCGACACGTTTCCTGATTGAAAATGGAAAGTATGCCATAAAACCGCATTGAGCCACCTTAATTAAGTAGAGATATCAAAAAATATATTTTGATGATCAAGGCAAAAGTTGCAACTGGTTATAGACAGTATGCATCATTGAAATGAATTTAAATGGAAATAAAGGTACATGGAAAGATAATTGCTGGCTTTCACTCAGCTGATAAAAGTTTTTGAATCTCATTATCTGCTCCACCAACACTGGTCAAACACTGACCACCATGTACTGTCAGCCAGAACGAACAATGAACATGAATAGAAAGAACAATGAACATTCACGATACAAAATTATGTCACTAATGCAACTTAAGCACCGGTGGCGTGCGCTGCTAATGCGCTGCCTCTCACCAATGCGGCCCGAGTTTGAGTCCTGCCAATCTCGATGTCGTATATGAGTAGAGTTGTTTGTTGGTTCTCTCCTATGCTTCGAGGGTTTTTTCCTGGGTTCTCCAGTTTTCCTCCCTCCTYAAAAATCAACTTCTAAATTCTAATTCGATCTTTGGACTTTCACTTAGTTTGGAGCCTAGCTCTGTYGTGATTGTCCCACGCTGTGATACAACAGCAAAAAGTTTTGTAGATTTAACAATTGCCCTCTACACACTAACATACAAAACATTAGACCAATAACCATATTGATTATTAATTCATATTTTATAATTATACTTACTTTAGGTTAATACAATTTGCAATAGCTTGAATACTGTTATCTGTTAAGTTAGCACCATCTAACCACAATTTCTCTAAATGTGCATGACAATATTCCACCATTACATAAACAGCGTCATCTGTAATCCATTGAATTCCATCAAAATTAATTGACTGTAAATGGCTGCAACTTGTTGCAATTGTCTTCAGACTATCATTTGACAAATGAACACAGTGTGAGACACTAATCCTTTTTAGAGGTAATATTGACAGATCATTGATACATCCATCAGTGATATCACACCCTTCTAGGTTTATGTCTTGTAGATCTGGAAAGTATTCTGCAAACATTGTAACAATTTTTTCATTTATTTGGCCACAAAATGCTAAAGATAACTGCTGAAGCTGTGGGCACGCCTTGGCAATATTTAGCATTTCATACGCTGACAACTCACTTCTGTATTTCAAGCTCAGTCTTTTTAAGAGTGGGCATTTCATGCAAATAATGTTGTACAACGCTTTAGTGGTAAGACATTTTATTTCATTGAAATCCAAATGTTGCCAAAGGAGAGGAGATGCTGCAAAGTCCTTCCATTTTTTACAAACAAGTGGTATAGTCAAACACAGTTCTTTCAACGAAATAAATGAAAAGATTTCCATTATCAATTCTTCAGGAAGATCATCAAACAGGTTGGGCGATAAAATTCCATTCATTCCTCTGTTTTCTCTTTCTTTAAGGTGCAGTATTTCTTTCGCTTTATGGTCTGAAGCTGTTGGAAAATGCATGATTTAGTTGTAAGCACGCTCCTGCTCCCAAAAGCCAAGTCCGACCACCACTTGCGAATCCCTGACACATTGGATATTTTACAGTAATAATCCAGAGCTAGGATTTGATATCAGTTATGTGATGTTCTAGGATGCTAAAATAAGGAAGTACTATCGCCATTTTGAAGGAAGAAAATGGATGACGTTGGGGGGAGGGGGGAGAGTTTGAATAATAAAAATCATTTTAATAGTTAAGAGTCCTGGAAGGCATTTATGGATGCGCGATCAAACAGGAACATATAGAGCTATTTATTTTCTTACCGATTTTCTCAAACAATGTAGATTTATAATGAACGGTCTTTACAGCTACGTGTCTTTGTTCATTCTTTCTCTCCCTCCCCTCCCTTCCTAGACTAAACACGATTCGATGACCAGTACGAATTGCGGTCTCACATGCATACATGCAGGACGGGTCGACACGAGTGATATTGTTAGACAACGTATGTTACTCGCAATTATAACATGATAAGAAGAAAGGCAAAGAGAACTGCTGTACTAAACAAACCAGAAGAAGACCATAAAGTTTTAAAAAAGAAAAAACCCGTAGATGATGATGGCATAGGCGTCGAGAAAGAGCTAGAAAATTTGTTATTTGGAGAAGCAGCTCAACACATTTTGGCTACACGTGACAAACCAATATGCAATGAAAAATTAGAAGATAGACACTCCGAGTATGACTCTGACGAGGTATATAGTTCTTATGCTGCTTTTATAAACCTGAAACTAACTTTTAAAATAAATGACTCACAATTTTCAATTTTTAGGCAGAACATGCCAAGACAAACACAGAGTGCAATGTAACTCCAAGACAACCAAAATGGATTGATGAAGACGATGAAAATGAAAAGTAAGCAAAATATATAAGTTACAGAAGTTGAATTTTAGTATAATGCATAGCACATTAGACATTTATTTTCTGATATTTTTACTGTTGTTAAAAATAGATTCTTGAATGCTTTAATTTGAATAATTTTCATAAATGCATTTCGAGACTCAAGTAAGTGTTATATGGTGTCCTCCATAAATTATAAAAGTGAACAGGAGTAAAATGAAGCAGAGGCGCAGTGCAAGTACGTAGTTTATTCTTGTGTGCCTTGGTTTGCATAGGTAATAAGATTACATGCTGTCCAATTTGGAAATAATTGGATGAAAAAAATTCCAAGGACTGACAAAATTGGAAGAGGCCGCAGTCAGAGGATTTTTTTTGAGTTCAATTATTTCCAAAATAGTCCATAATTGCAGATTAATTATATCATCCCAAACTATACTAGACTGATTCCATAAGTCATTGTTTTCCCTTGAAAGAATGGGAATGGAAACAATCCAAATTAATCTTTAATTTGAACAGAAAAGAAAATTTGAAAATAATACAATAGTTGCTTATTTGGAATTATAGATTGATGATACAATTGCTTATGTAATTTCCCTATTTTCCTTTAGAGGAAAATTCAAACTATTTCCAAAAAAAACTTCATCCAAATGGTAACTGGAAATTAAAAGAGCATAGATGTTATGCACCAGTCAAAGTAAACCCTGACTCCCCCCCACACACACCCCCCGGGATATGATTGTGGGGATTTGGTGTGGATTTGTTATCTTTTTATAGCAGCAGCTCTTTGGGTCCTGACTATGTGAGGATTCACACTCTTTGTCATCCCCATGTGAGGCATTAGGTGGGGATTCCTTTTGTAAATTTCAAGATAGCAGCCATTTTTCCGGCAGAGAATTTTGGGTCACAGCATTTTACTTTCTTATAGAAACAATAAGATATAGAAATATGTCAACTAGAAAAATTTTGTTGCCCCGAGGGGTGTCTTTTTTTTTTTTCTTTTTTTTTTTTCACTATTTACTGCAAATTTTGTCACCATATCATGGGGCATTTGTCAGTTTTAGTTTGCTATTCAATACTAATCCCCACATATATCCTGGGGTGGGGGGTCAGGGTTTACTTTGACTGGTGGATATACCCCTACCATGGATAACATTTTGGATATCCAAAGAAGAGCAGGTCTTTCTAAGGAGAGGGTGAGAAAGAGTGGATGATATATGGCCCCGCTTTGAAGGAATTCTTATCATGGGCTTGATTCCCATCTTGGACTCAGAATTATTATCTTACATCATTAGTTTTATTAATATCTATAAAATAATGAAACGTCAGTTTCACAAAGCTTTTTACAGTGATTTAATTTATCCACAAGTTCCTGCTAATCTTAGAGTACTTTAGTAAATTGTTTGAATTAATTGAATGAAGTATGATCATGTTTAATTGCTATGTGAATATAATGTATTAAAATTGTAAAGCATTGTTGAACTCCTGGAATTGGTGCTATATAAAATATTATTATTATTATTATTACTATCATTATCATTATTATTATTATTATCATTTGTATTCACTTCATATGAAATCATTGGCAACACTTTATATATATGGTAAGCACACCCTTAAATAAGCACCACCCTTAAACACTGCCACCAAATTAACGCTGCATTTGAAACCCCAAAAAATTAATAAGGCTTAAAAGAGTAAATACGGTATTGCAACTTGTTTTGTTACTTTAAGGATCGATGTAATTGCTGGAGGAAAGTTACGAAAATTAAGAGATACTAAAGACGAAAGCGTACTGTGTGGAAGCAAATACTCAACGAAACTAAGAACACAGTGAGTATGAATTATAATACAGATCCATAGTATATTACAATATTGCAGGAAGGCCAGGCTAGGATATGAAACCAAAGGGCACATAAGCCAGGCTATAACAGTGGGCATTTTAAATTCTGTATAAAAGTAATATACAAGATGGAAAGGTGTGTATACTACAGTAAGTTACAGCTAATTCACGTAGTGCATGACGAGTAGTTTCGAAAAGTCAAATGTAAATATCGACATGTTACAGTATGTAAATTTCAAATCTCCAATCAATTATTCTGATATTCCAAAAACATTTCAATAAAAGAATTAGGTTTTGAATAAACTAGCATGAATGATCGTGAAACATTTTCCAAAAGAATTCCCCTGACCTCATCATTAGCTTGAAAATCTTTCTTTTGTAGCTGCTGCCTGAAAGGTATACTGTAGCTTCTATGTTGTTGTCTAATAATGTAAGTGAGTGGATATATTTTTGAATAATACTCGGAACCAATCAAATTGTTTCATGATTCTTCATCCAGTTGTTGACTTGTTATCAATCAAAATGTTCAAACTATGGTTTTCATCCTTCCATGTGCTGAATTTTCTATGGGGCACCAATCCAGTCAATATTATCATCATAACTTTATTTCATGGCTTATTGTATTTTTATTGTGGTCTTTCAATTTGCTTTTTTGATGGTCATATTTACATGTAATTTTTGGTGGGACTGAATTTGCTTTTGAAGCAGCCGAATTTAATTATTTATGGTTATTTGTTTAATCAATGAAGTATTAAGTATTAAGTATCAATTAACTTAATAAATCTTCTCCTTGATGCTAGATTTCAAAGTATTTTTTACTCTATTTACAATAATTTTATAATATAAATTTGCTTCAACAACCAAACTCAACCTTCGATCGTTGCCAAGTGTTTATTTGTAGAGGATTTTTCAGTAATTTTGACAGTCTCTCAAGAGATTTTCCAGCAGAATTATGATCACCTGTGGCATTGGCCAATCAAGTGAGATTTTAGGGTTGACATCTCAACATCTTCATTCATTCAAAGTACAGCATCTAGCCATCCATACAACTAAGTGTTGTAATGGTTTTAAGAGTCTCTTAAAGACTGAGAGTGAATAATTCGCTTATGGGAACAAATAATGCCTTTCAAGACTCAAGTACAGTGTATTTGCCATTTAAGAACGAATAATGCTGATTATTTTGTGTTCATAAACTGCAAGCTAGTTAAGCTTATATACATGTATAATCTGTAAGCTTATATTTAGTAATTCTATCGTATGTACAGTATGCATTATTAATTTATACTTATTGAATCCTCATTTTTCTATATGTTCCTTATTATTTATTGCTCTCTTTTCTACAAAAGATAACACTCCACCAGATCACCAGAACGAATAACCAGTTTATACATATTATTTAAAAAATTAGAATCCAAAAGAACTTTTCTTTCAGGTTTTAAGTATATTTTTATAATCGTTTATTCTTTTGCCTTATCCTGTTTTATTTGTTCTTTCTTTATCTTATCATACCTTACTGTTTATTTCTTTTATTATTTGCCTATAAAGCAGTAGCTATATGTAGTCATAGACAGCATATTTTAAGTTAAGTTGGTGCCTAGACTTGGAATTTCAGACAAGGCTTATGAAAGTCCAATTGAAACATTAGAGATACTGGTCATGCCTGACGTGAATAAGCTGTAACTATTTTGTTCTGATCAGGTTGTTTGATATGTCATGATATGTTTCACATGGACCAAAATCCTTCATAACTAGTTAGAAAACACATGAATAATTCATAAGCCTTTGATCTAACTAGAGTGATCATCATAAACATAACGTGTATAGACTTCATATTATATGGTCTTCTTAGTATTCTTTATCTAAAGAATACTAACGATGATCACTTTCTCAGAGATGAAGTTGCATCCAAGTTTGCATACAATCACAGACGACCTACAACATTTCATCGACTAGCACCACTGTCTTGAGTTTGGCATACTGTCTTCAACTTGTGGGAGCCTTTTTTGGAATTACTGTGCATGACACTGACGTACAAACCTCACTGTGCATGACAAGTAAAGTTATTTATCAGTGGTTATGTAAAAGAGATAGAAGAGTAATTTGAGTTGATCAAAATTAATTTCCTTTTTACGCTCAGATATTTTCATCGAACAACCTTATTTTTAACAGATTTGAGAAAATTTATGGAGATGGAAATTGGGCAAGTTTGGACAGAAAGAATAATCAAGGTAATAGGATTTTGTTTTGATAGTTTTCTACATTTTACTCATTATAATAAAATAGATTACCTACCTCACTGTACAGTATGTCAATATCTGCTTGATGAGCATTTCTTGATTTAGTTATAATTCATTTTAGTATAATTTTAGACTTGAATATAGAGTTTCTGGAGCTGTGATTGGTTGAGTGACCAGTGATTCTGAGACTATAATCACTGTTGGAGTGGTGTTTAGGTTTTCCAAAGTTTTCCAGATCAGAAGTAATACTAAAATGTTTTTTTATCCTGAATTTCGTATTTTCTCAGATATTCAAGCTAAAATTATACTAAAACAATCATTCCCCTCAGGTTCCGTGATTATTGTAAATATTTACCTCACAGCTTGAAGACTGGCGGCTCAGTAAATATTCCACAAATAATCACTTCACCTTCGGCAAATAATTGTTTAATAGTTATCATAATTAGAAGCATTCTTTTTTGACAAAAAGCTTGCTTTTTATAGTGATTTTCCTTCTCCTGTTGGATAATAGTCAACAAAATACATTGTAATAGACGCAATTTACATGTTGTCTTTTGTTTAACTTTTCACTGTTAAAGTATGAGGACTGGGTTAAGTGGCTGTCATTTCTACAAAATTTATTTACACTGTATCCAATACACCTAATAGTACTTCACAATGAATATATACATAAAATTTCCTTTCCAAATTGCATGTCAAAAGTGTGAAATTTCACACCTAAGGTGTCAAAAAAACGCAGGCAACCCAGTCTCTTTTTCAGTAATTTATTAATATCTCTCTCTAGAAAATGTTATAAAGAAAATAAAACTTGAGCTATGAAAATAAAGTGTATAAAGAAAAAAAATTAGGCAGCCCGGAGCAAAATATTTTTTTGGCGAGCTTAAACTACCGTGACATGGTTTTCGGTTGTAACATTTTATCAAAATATGTCTTTGCTCCGGGCTGCCTAATTTTTAATCTTTAAGGTCTATTTAAGATTTGCTCCAAATTTAAGGATAGTATGATATATACAAAAGAGTTTATTGAAGAACGCGTGAGGGAGAGTGGTGCTTTAATCTGCTAAAGTCGCTATAATTCTTAAATTTTGGATTCAAACGAAAGAATTCGCCGCCATATTGTTTCTGACATTGAACTACGTCATGACTCACTATATCAAGCCAATTGAGCAACAAAAACTATCGGAAAACTTCAGTTTTATATCGCCCACGCGTCGCTTCATCCGAATCCCGTAACGAGTCCCAAACAAATGACATCATCCATAGCAACCTGAATGCCTGAATGCATGCGTATTTCGACAGTGAAACATGAAACCACACCATAAATTTGACAAACAACAATCTACTTACTTATCAACAGACTTTCTTCGAGTGTTTTAAGTAATGTTTAATAAACGAGCAGGAGTGTTTTATCGGGTATAAAACACGAGGCGCAGCCGAGTGGTTTTAGACCCGATAAAACACGATCTGCGAGATTATTGAACGGCTTAGAAAACTTATGATGTTTGTTCTCGTTGTGTACCGATTTTTTTACGAAATGAACCAAGTTTGATAGAGAAAATCCAAGTTAAAGTTTATGCAAATGAAGACGAATCTTTATCCGATTTAAAATCACCTTCATGGTCATGATTTCTATTGTGTTTTCTTCATGAATTATTAATGAGTTTTCTAATAATATATAGTAGCATTTTATACAGCAGTYATAGAAAGYATATGTTATTTAGCTTATCAATGAATGTAACAGAAATATGCATTAGAGAAAATAGCCTGAAAGGTATAATAACAATAAAAGTATATATTCAGACGCAATAAGTTTCRAAGAATAAAGTTCGAAGGTCATGGAGTGGTTTATGGTATTGGAAACCCTTCGCGTCTGTCCTTCTCAAACCAATAGCTTCAAGAACGTGGTTGGGAAGTCGAAAGGTCTGGCAAAGTTTTTAATTTTACTGCAATTACTCAGGCAAAATTTTTTTATTAATCGAAGGCCGTGAGGCAATACTTAATTGAACAAGAAACAAGCACAATCGATCAATTCAAACCAATTTTAACAGCTAGCCGGACTCAAATTTCGATGTTACTTGCTCCGCGTGGGCCCCAAGATGTTCATCTCAAAGCACATGTTCAAAAGGATCAATTACCAGTGAAATACTCTCGCATTTACACACGAAGTAAACAAAATGGCTTCCTTCGATACAAAGTTWAGCACCGTTTTCTAAGAAAACGGAACAACTAAACTCCAAGAAATCGAGAATATGGATTCATATTATCGTAAACAAGCTAACTAGTTAGTACAAAGTGAGGATTTTTTTCCAGCCACAACTCAGGTCCCATACCTTAAGTCACTAATTCTTATACAACTTTGTTTCATGGGCCAAATAAAGTCACTCTACTATAGATTAATTAGTTACATAGGTAAAGTCATCTTATAAGTTTTATTAATTCTGACTGATATGCTTATAATGATATTATTTGCATATTTTAATTAATTAATTTTTATATAGTCTTAGTACTTATTATTTGTTATTGTGCATTTAATCATTACGCCATGAAATTTGCACATAATAGGGCATTTTTATTTTTATTTTATTATTATTGCTGTTATATTTAAAAAAGCCTTGATAAATGATAAACGAGTATTTCTGTGGATAATACCTTTATCATTTCAAGTTTATATTATGTTCTTTTTTTGTTAAGAAGAAAGTGATGATGGCATAGAAGAAGAGATATTGAAGAGAACAGGAAATTATTTAACCTGCAGCCATGAAACACTGCCGAGGGGAATTCTAAATATCAGGAGAGTCAATGATGCTAATAATTCTAAGCCATCTAATGTAAGAAAACTCATTTTATAAGGGTTTTAACAGTTGCCAGTTTATTTCATGTATATGTTTGTCATTTCTTTACATCATTACAATTYCTTTTCTTTACTGTAGTTTTGTGTAATACATCCAGTAAATTATAACATCATGACAACATAAAATGGAAGGCTTTCTCTCTGTTAAATTCAAAGTATTTGCATGTTATTGTTTGCTAGCGAATTATTTTTCTCAGTTACTGTCTGTATTTCTTCTTATAAAGACTGGAAATTCTCTGTTTCTTTTTCCGGCTCCATTTCTACTGAATTCCAGCAAAATGTCTTTTCTGGCTTTGTTGTTTRTAATTATGCAAAATATCATGCCATCAGCTTTTTTCGCGTTTTGATCACATTATTTTAACTATCCTTGTCATGTGACAAGTGCTTATTTCCCAGTTAGGATACATGTAGATTTAGTTAGTGTTACATGGTCATCTATCAACCAATTGATGGGAGTGTTTGTTACTTATATTGGCAAAATCCATAGCTATATAGAACTCTATTGTAGTTGACCTCTTATTATTTTGTTATAGGCTGGCATACAGGCTCTTGAATTTCATCCAAGTTCAAAGGTACTGCTGACTGCTGGGTTGAACAAAACAATGGACCTCTTTCAGGTATGAATGTACCATTTTTCCAAGTTATATTCTTTTTGACATTATAAAAAAGTTTCAATTGATTTGTAAAGTAGTTATCCCCTGGAAGAGCACTTGTTAAAAAAGCCAGGGGCTATCAACATTAAGGTATGAGAACTAGGTAAAGTGGCTGTCATTTCTACGAAATTTATTTGCACTGTATCCAATACACCTAAAATAGTACTTCACAATAGATATATACATAAAATTCCTTTCCAAATGGCATGTCAAAAATGTGAAATTTCACACCTAAGGTGTCAATAAAATGCAGGCAACCCAAGGCTCTTTTTCAGTAATTTATTAATATCTCTCTCTAGAAAATGTTATAAAGAAAATAAAACTTGAGTTATGAAAATAAATTGTATAAAGAAAGAAAATTAGGCAGCTCGGAGCAAAATATTTTTTTGGCGAGCTTAAACTACTGTGACATGGTTTTCGGTTGTAACATTTTATCAAAATATGTCTTTGCTCCGGGCTGCCTAATTTTTAATCTTAAAGGTCTATTTAAGATTTGCTTCAAATTTAAGGATAGCATGATAAATACAAAAGAGTTTATTGAAGAACGCATGCGGGAGAGTGGTGCTTTAATGCGCTGAAGTCACTATAATTCTTAAATTTTGGATTCAAACGAAAGAATTCGCTGCCATATTGTTTCTGACATTGAACTACGTCATGACTCACTATATCAAGCCAATTGAGCAACAAAAACTATCAGAAAACTTCGGTTTTATATCACCCACACGTCGCTTCATCTGAATCCAGTAACGAGTCCCAAACAAATGACATAATCCATAGCAACGGCCTGAATGCATGCATATTTCGACAGTGAAACAAGAAACCACACCATAAATTTGACAAACAGCAATCTACTTATCAACAGATTTTCTTCGAGTGTTTTAAGTAGCATTTTATACAGCAGTTATAGAAAGTATATGTCATTTAGCTTATCAATGAATGTAACAGAAATATGCATTAGAGAAAATAGCCTGAAAGGCTAAATATAATAACATATATTAAATATATATTCAGACGCAGCTTTGCACCGTTGCTTAGAATAAAAGCTTGAAGGTCATGGAGTGGTTTATGGTATTGGAAACCCTTTGCGTCTGTCCTTCTGAAACCAAGAGCCTCAAGAACATGGTAGAGAAGTCAAAAGGTCCGGCAAAGTTTTTAATTTTACTGCAATTACTCAGGCAAAATTTTTTTATTAATCGAAGGCGGTGAGGCAATACTTAATTGAACAAGAAACAAGCGCAAGTGAATTTGAACCAATTTTAGCCTCTAGCCAGACTCAAATTTCAATGTTACTTGCTCCGTTTGGGCCCCGAGATGTTCATCTAAAGCACATGTTCAAAAGGATCAATTACCAGTGAAATACTCTCGCATTTACACACGAAGTAAACAAAATGGCTTCCTTCAAAACAAAATTTTGCACCGTTTTCTAAGAAAACGGAACAACTAAACTCCAAGAAATCGAGAATATGGATTCATATTATCGTAAACAAGCTAACTAGTTAGTACAAAGTGAGGATTTTTTTCCAGCCACRACTCAGGTCTCATACCTTAAACATCATATTATTACAATCATTTGTTTTGGGAAGTACTGGTTACATGTCCATCGCCCCTTGCCAATGCAACCCAGATTGGAATTCTGGTCTTGCTGATGCATGTGAGTAGAGTTGTTTATTGGGTATCGGCTGCACTTCAGTGGTTTTTATGAGTTTTCCTGTTTTTCATCCCTTTTTAAATATTATCAATTATTACCTATTACTATTGTTATTCTTCTTTTGCTGGACCTTTTACTATCATTATGGTAATATCAATAAGAAAATTATACCCCATTCACACCAAGGTTTAAACATGCTTTAAAGTGGTTTAACTAAACAGGTTTGGAAAACTATCTACAAACACTGCACAATATTTGGTGAAATAATACATGTAAACTATCCTTTGTCTTGCTCTGATAATATTTTAGAAAGCTTCATTATATTGTAGGTTTCTAGTTTCTCAATTTTTTCCCTAATGAAAACATAATTTAACTAAGCACGTCTAGGTGTGAATTTGGTATTAGTTTGCTATTGAGGATTTTTCAAAATTAATATGAGGATTTTTTTTTTCTTTTTTTGATTTATCAGTGAAAATCTTAGTCAGACAATATATAAACATTATTACGTTTTGGTGCCAAAAGCAAACTCCCTACACTAGTGAGAACATGTATCCTATATTATGTTCGTAAATAGTCGATATACCTATTTCTTTTTGAGTACCTGTAATTTTCATGTTTATTTGGTGTATTTGATGGGAAAGAAAGAACAATTCCAAATTACTTGTATGGCAAGTAATACAGGTGTCAGACGTTTTTATGCAGTTCCATATCATGCAAACTACCTTCTTGTATAATTATGTGATCTCTACCAAATTGAGGCTCTCATTTATGACAAGATATACGTAGGATTCTATTGGATATTTTTTTTCAAAGTTATCCTTATCATCATTATGATGATCAAACATTAATCATTATTTTTATATTGTCTTTTTCATCATAATCATTTCTCATTAATCCCATATAGGTAACTGTAAAATTATTTTCTTTATTGGACAGGTCTTGTTGATATGGGATTAATTAGGCAGCTATAATAATTAATAGGGTAGCATGGGTGGCGTTCGCGGCTAATGCGTCGTCTTTCACTGCKGTGAGTCCAACGGGTCGGGTCGCTGGTTCGAGCCCTGCGGTCGCTACATGTGAATTGAGTTTGTTTGATGTGTTGTTCTCTCCTATGCTACGAGGGTTTTCTCCGGGTTCTCCGGTTTCCTCCCTCCATAAAAATCAACATGTGAGTTGAGCATTGTGTGCATAGAATATTAAATGTAGTGGTAGTGCGTGTGAGTGAAAAGTGTCCCCAATTAGTGCGAAAGCGCTAGAACGACTAGACACTTAAATAAAAGTGATTTTTTATTTATTTATTATTATTTCATGCTCCCCAATCAAGAAATAATTAGACTCAAAAAATTAGACTGACTGCCAAATTGGACTCAGCCTACGGCCTCATCCAATTTTGTCACTCCTCGGAATTAATCCTCATCCAATTATTTCTTAATTGGACAGCATGGAGTCCTATTACATATACTAATTTAAAAACTTAATAACAAAAATTGATATACTGGTTTCAAGGCTAATAAAACTTGGGATCATCTCCCAAGTGTATATTTATTAAATATCATTTAAATACTTAGATTGATGGTCAAGACAATCCCAAGCTACAAAGCATTTTTGTGAATAAGTTCCCAATTTACAATGCTCACTTCTCAACTGATGGACAGCAAGTTATTATGACATCAAGAAGGAAATATTTCTATGTATATGATATGATTAAAGGAAAAGTGATAAGGATTCCACATATTAGAGGTACACAGATTAGTGCTAATTCTGGATTAAACCTAAAATATACAGTATGTTTTTCCTGACATCTTAAGACAATGGCTGTCCTAACAGTCCAAATTACTTTTTGCGTAGTGATGCCTCATTTCTGGCCGCTAGACAATACTGATCAAAATGACCAGCAAGTCAAAGATTTGACAGGACAAGTCCCAATTCTGGCCAGATATTGTCCTACTGTGTGTCTGGCCGTTATTTTAAGCCCTGTATGTATGATAACCAATGTTCCCTGAATTAAATACCATTTAACAACTGGACTACCCTTGGTTCCAGAGCCTATATCGCTCCAGTGCTTCTCAGTCATAGGATTTTGTTATTATGATTGTGATTACCAATAATTACTAGTGATTAGTATACTGGAACAAGAGAGCCTTTTGGAACCAGCAGGGCAAAGAAAAAATACTTCTGTGAAATAATATTTTTTGTTTATTATCAATATTAGATCTTTTTATTCCTCTGTATTATTTCTGTTCTTATTTTTTTTACTTTTGCTTTACTTTTGTTTTGTTAATTTACTCTTTTTACTGCAAGGGGCATTTATCAATCTGCCTTTTACATGCTCCAGTCACATGCTCATCTTTTCTTTCCTTCCCCTTCTTTTTGTGTTGTTTTGTTTGTAAATCCTATTAGGTGTTATGTGTATATTACTTTGGTGACAAAATCAATAAACTAAACTAACTAATCTAACTGTTAAAAAAGTCAATTACTTTGCTATATACAGCTGTATGTTTAAATGTGATTTAGTACAAGGGGTTCCTGTATGCTTTTAGTTTGAGGAATGTTAACATACAATAAAATTTCAGGCAGGTGTGAAAAGAACCTTGAAAAGTTTCAAGTTTCTCCTGATGGTAGTCATTTGGTTTTTCTTGGTGACAATGGATACATGATGCTAGTGTCAAGCAGAGTAAGTAAGATGTTTCCTACAAAAAGAAATAGGCAAAATATCTATATTATATATAATATGCTTAATGTCCCTAGTCTGCACAGAATTATTCCTTAGTACTCAGGCATTATTAGGGCAAGAGGTAGGGATTGGGGAAAGGATTTGATAGAAAACATGCCTTCCTGGGTATAACCATGAAATCCCACAGGCATGTCAACTAGGTTGTTGTTTAATTCAAAATTAAAGAGTGCTTGGTTGCACAATGGTTAGTGTTTCTTTCAATCCAAAAGTCAGTGGTTCAAGCTTACTTAGATAAATGGTCAAGCAAATTCAAAGCTACAAAGTTTCGAGCCCTAACTGAGTGGTAAAATTTGTAAAAACCTTGGTTCTCTACAGTAGGGACTGTGAATTAAATGGGTGTCCCATCTCCACTTTGTGGACACAAGTAAGCCACTGAGGACCTACAAAACCTATTAATTATTATGACCATATCCAGTGTGCCAATGGAATGTTGCCAGGTGCTGGATGGAAAAACAAAAACAAATGAAACATTTAAAATTTTGTGGTATTTATTATTTTCGTCTTCATTTTTTGTGTATGCAGACAAAGCAGTGGATTGGAAACCTAAAGATGAATGGAACAGTAGGTGCAGTAACCTTTTCTGCTGATGGTTCACATATGTTTAGTACTGGAAGTAAGTGAGAAAGAAGGGAMTGGAAGACGTTTTTGTGCCCAAATGGATATTTTTTGTTGGTGTTTTAGGTATAGGCATGATTTATCGAAAAATGATATGCCATTCTAGGCATGTTGACTTTGGTTGACCATTCAAATTCGACCAAGATTGATATCAACATACTGACCATGGTTGCCTCTTTGTTTCTGTTTCAAAACCCAACTGAAAAACTTCAGTGTCTATTCTGCCCTTTTTAACTCGTGGATACGCATAGAACCAAATTATTCTGAGGGGTCTGTCTATGCAAATGTGTCACTCACTCACTCACTCACTAAGATGTTAGCAGATCCATAATTAAATATTTACCAATCGTCTTAGTTTGGGACTTTATACGAACGCAATGTTGTTATCCAAAAAAGGCTTCAATAGCTATTTATATCAGGAGCTGGAATTAGTCACTGTTTGATGAGTTTTTGAAATCAGGTCTAAAGACCCATGTTCATGGCATGTGCTGTTGCTATGCTTTATGGAATGTAACCAAAAGTTAATTGTTAGGTGATGGTGAAGTATACATATGGGACATGAATACTCGAACATGTCTACACAAGTTTACAGATGATGGGTGTCTAATGGGGACGTCACTTGCAGCTTCAAAAGATGGACAGTATTTGGCTTGTGGGTATGTATACCAGCTTTGTATCACTGGATGAAGAAATCGTCTACTTCAACTCATATATATTTTCTTGTTTGAATCAGATCCGATAGTGGCGTAGTTAATGTTTATGACAACAAGTGTTTCAACCAGTCCAAACCTAAGCCATTAAAGTCCGTTACTAATATTACAACTCCTGTTGATGGGACCTTGTTTAACTCTTCCAGGTAAAATGTCTTTATTCAATACAGTGGTTTGTGTGTTAAGGGATTGATACTCAACTTCTTCTCCTATCTTCTTTGCTTCTAGTGAGATATTAGCTATTTCTTCAAGGTTTGGTAGAGATGCATTTAAGCTGGTAAGGCTCTATCTGTGTTTGTGGTTAGTTTTGTAATATCTCGAGGATTGATGTGCTTACATTTTTCTCTCTTTCTATCTCCAAAGGTTCATTTACCTTCTCTGTCGGTTTTCTCTAACTGGCCAAACTCAAAAGCACCTCTGCGATATGTTCATTCATTTGATTTCTCACCAAATAGTGGGTTTCTATCGATAGGAAATGATCAAGGAAAAGCACTGCTTTATAGGTACTCTTTAGATTTATTATAAGTAATAGCATAACTTTTTTATTTTATTTAACCATATATTTTCTAATTGTTTACTCCAAGAGCCATAATGGCTCATCTATGGAGATCACAACATAGCTTGATAGTGATTAGTGATCAAATGTCCCTGAAAGCCAAGGGAGGTTTCGTTAAAGTCCCAACACCACGGAGGGATGCGGAGGGCCCAATGCTCATGTTTATATTCATGAGGGATAGTAAGACTAATCGTCCCTCATGTTAATATTGGTAACAGATATTTAGTCTTTGTTAATAACAACAACAATTTATTCAACAATAAAAAAAACGATAAACCCACTTAATGTGTACTTAAAGTCTCATATGAGACTTGTTAGCTCAGTGGTTAGAGTCTTTCAATTTGCAGCTGCATCAGTTGCTTGATATACTGCGAGGATCAGCTCAGTTTCATATATTATAACCGCAGTACAATATATGGTTGATATATATTCTCATATAAATAAAGAAAAAATAGTATATTCAGTAATTRTTGAGCCAGAGGCTTATTTACCTAAATTTCCTTCCTCACTATTTAACCAGAGGGATGTTAGTAGCAAGTGAGGTAATCATGATACTATTAAATATGTTTATGTATAAAGCCTAATGTAGATGTCATATTTTAATATTTGTAGGATAAATCACTATACAGACTCTTAGTAAAGTGATTACAGTACTATAGGATGTACTACTACTGGTCATACAGGTCTTCAGTACAGCTGACACCAGGCTATAGCAGGGGTGTGTCAGTACTATAGGATGTACTACTACTGGTCATACAAGTCTTCAGTACAACTGACTCCAATTTATAGCAGGGGTGTGTCAGNCTACTACTGGTCATACAAGTCTTCAGTACAACTGACTCCAATTTATAGCAGGGGTGTGTCAGTACTATAGGATGTACTACTACTGGTCATACAAGGATACAAGTCATACAAGGTCATACAAGTCTTCAGTACAACTGACTCCAGGTTATAGCAGGGTTGTGTCAGTACTATAGGATGTATTACTGCTGGTCATACAAGTCTTCAGTACAACTGACTCTAGGTTATAGCAGGGGTGTGTCAGTACTACAGGATGTACTACTACTGGTCATACAAGTCTTCAGTACAACTGACTCCAGGTTAGCAGGGGTGTGTCAGTACTATAGGATGTACTACTACTGGTCATACAAGTCTTCAGTACAACTGACTGCAGGTTATAGCAGGGGTGTGTCAGTACTATAGGATGTACTACTACTGGTCATACAAGTCTTCAGTACAACTGACTGCAGGTTATAGCAGGGGTGTCTATGCATACTATAATTTACATTTGAGGTCGTCCAAACTTTGGTCGCTGTTCATTAACTGATAGCTTAAATTATAGTGTAGTATCCTGCTGGCAAACCAGAATTGTCATGATCACTATGTTTAGTTTTGTATTTTGAAATCATTTGAAGTTTGGTATGAAGTTTCAAAGTAATCTGTGGCCTTGATTGAATATAAAAAACCAGTGTACTTCTCACACCTGTGGAGAGTAGGCTTTGACTGAGGGTTCTAAGCATGCTACAAATTTGGAATAATTGATGAGTAGTAATATAATTATTCAGAAATCAAATTTACCTTTATTTGAATGTCAAATTAAAATTGGATGCAATTTCGTAAGATTTCCACATATAGCAGAACTAGTTACACTTACATTTCAAAAGTGAGAAAACCGCATATTACGAATAAAAAGATGAGGCAACAGACAAATGTTTTGTTATTTTTATTGGCGGGTTTTGAAGATTTTTAGCAAAGCAATTATATTTGTTTACTTAACATTGTAGTTCTACTTTAAGATAAATGTCATGGCAAGTTAAACATGAAATCTAAAATACTATAAAACATCAAAAACGTTAAGGATAAATTTAAAGACTCCCTCCACTTAATATTTGCTACATTATGTATATGATATACTAATGGTATGATATTTCAATAAAGTTAGTCATGAAAAGCTTCAAAGCTTATGGGTAGATGGATGTTTTATGTCTTATGGCATTGAAACATTTCAATTCCTATGAATATATTCAATCAGTTTTTTATCACAAATATTGTTGTATATCAAAGGATTCCTGACCGTAGCTTTGTAGCTTTGCGGATGACCAACCTCATTGACTATGCAGTTAATTTCAAGCTTTACTAAATAAGCAGCATGCAACTAAACCTTCGCTAACCCTTTTCGAAACAGCTGTATACTGAATAAAAGCAGGAGTATATAATGAATATATAAGTGTTGGTATATATCACCAAGAAAATGTGAAAGGACTGGAGAATATATCGTAATGCCCCACAGAATTCAATATTTGAGCCCCTTACACGTTACTACTGAAAGACTGCGTATTCGATGCTCTTTTACTCTATTCAACACACCGGATCTTAATATAATTCATTTTCAAGAAATCTTGTGATTTTCTTGGACTCTTTAGTCAGAGGGGTTCAAACTTTAAACCGTGGTCATTACGTGTTCGAATTGAGTGCATGCCATATATGTGATGTGTAATTGTATTGATAGTTTTCAACCATTCCCAAGTGAATTAGTATATGTAATAGGACTCCATGCTGTCCAATTAAGAAATAATTGGACGAGGAAAATTACGAGGACTGACAAAATTGGATGAGGCCGTAGGCCTAGTCCAATTTGGCAGTCAGAGGAATTTTTTGAGTCTAATTATTTCTTGATTGGGGAGCATGAAATCCCATTACCTATTAATTATATAGCTGCCTAATTAATCCCATATCAACAAGACCTGTCCAATTAAGAAAATAATTGGACAGTTACCTATACGGGATTAATAAAAAGCTGTATAATTAAATACAAAAGACATGGCGGCCATGTTGGAGGATATAAAGGAATTCATTGACAATTCTTTTGTTAATTTCCTCCAACATGGCCGCCGTGAAAACCATCAATAAGAGTGCATTACCATATAACCATATATCAGTCAAAAAGTTAACTAACCAACTTGTACAAATAAGTTCAAAGTTTTGTAGGTGTAAGGTTTGCTGAACTTACTAATTTCTGCAATTCCTTACTATGATTTTTACGGATATATGTTATGTACTCTATTATATATGGCAACGTTGCTATACCGATTTCTCCTGGCCGCTTTACTGTTTAATTTCTATAATGCTATTAATAATCAAAAGCTTCAAATGTCTGTTGCTTAACGTCAAACCATGGCGGGTAATACCGCGTTGTTTAACCTTTTAGCAGTGATCAATAGAGAAATGTTGACACGTCAGTGCTACAGAGGAAATTTAACGTCGAGCGCACACACATTATCCACTTTACAGTGCAACTACTGTAACTGGGGCCACTTGACCAGTTAGACAAGATTAGACCATCTTGAGAACCAATTGAAATGTAGAATGAAAACAATGCATTCCAACTTTTGGTAATAGAGCCAATCAGAAACCTAGACTGCACGAGAATTGTAATTTGACCCTGATGTTGTGTAAACAACTAGATAAACATCGTCACTTTCTCGTAGGAATAAAAAGATATGTGGATATTGTTTTCTGCTGCTTTCTGATTGGCTCCTCTACTCAAAGTTGGAATGCATTGTTTTTATTGTACAATTTGATTGGTTCTCGCTGTGTAAGTGGCCCCGGTTATAGTAGTTGCCTTGTAAATAGATTTTATCGGAACTGTATCGTATCGTTATTGTACCTAAATGTACCGTATTGTGTGGGAGCTTTAGAGCAGTTTTCGATTACCATGAAAAGCTCCATGCCGTGCCTTGACCGTATTGTTTTCTAGAAATTAAATTGTCTGATTTTTTTTTTTTTTTTTTTTTTTTTTTCCCACGCAATTTGATTGGTCTGGCAGTGCCGTGACCGTGTCCCCTATTGTTTATGCAGTGTTCCGGACATTTTATTGGATGGAGAGTAAGATTTTTTGAGCAAGGTAATTGGTCTGGCGTATGCCTTGCCGGGTTGCGACCGTGTTCGAGCTGTGAGCTTTTCACAGTCATACGAAAACTACTCTATATATACCGTTGTGTGTCGTACGGTACTGTGTCGTGCAGTACTGTGTCCTATACGAAGTAGTTCCTCGTCACTTTGCTTATGAATTGATAGTAATAGTTATAATAATTATATACCGTGCAGAATCGAATCGTCGTATAGGGCGCAACTATCACTGGTTGAAATAAGGTTTATAGATGCGGTAATACGGTTAACAAAGTTGCGGGATTTTATTACCCGTATACCGGCGCACCTTAAAAGTTGTAATAGTCAAGAATACCGGCTTAGGGGCACATGAAAGTAGGCCAGTGACCCTTGTTCTTGAGACAAGTGTTGTTTTCTTTCCTAAAGGGAAATCAAATCCAGAAAAGCTAGCCATAGAGTAGTCTCCACCGCAGTCGTTCTTAGTGTAGAGGAAGGTCACCACATTCCACCGTTTTCCAAACACAAAGCTCTCAATTGAGGCGCACAGGTACTTTCAAAGGATTATTCAAATTTGAACCTTGCAACCTCGACTGAATGCTTTGTGTTTGACMAGTGAACCGATGTRTGGAAAATGGTTAATTGCATGCGGGTTGGTAGGTATGTGCATCTTGGCCCTGATACACAGGGAGCCCGGCTGTACATGAACAAATAAATTAACAAAGTACTGTGGGTTTCCAGTGTTGAGATTTGAAACAAGACGTTAATACGTTGAATTTCCGGTAATAGTACTACCAGTAACTTGTTTGTTAGTTTTAGCAGAGTACCTTATTGATTTATTTGTTTATGTACAGCCGGGCTCCCTGTGCCTGATACGACGTTTCGACTCGTCACATTAAGCCTACTGATAGGAGAGAGTCTTGGATATATATAAGGAGCAGTGGGTGCCATATCGTTTGACGCGTTCGCTTATTCTTTTTATTCCATTTCACATTCTTCAGTGTTAGAAAAATACATGTATATTTACCTATTTCAAAAAAACGTGAGATCTGAGAACAAGTAGCAAACTTTAAATTGTGATATCATGATATTCACAGCTGAAATAACTTCGTTTCCTTTTAGATTGCATGAACGAGTTAACGGTCATTTTTTCGTATTTAGCCAGAAGACATTACAGTGCAAAAAGTCTCAGATCGCCCATTTCAGATGTGTGACCGACGTTTTTTTTTTAATTAGGCGTATGTATACCGACATCAAATTAAAGTTGAAAAGTTCAGCGGACGCAGAAAGGGGTTTTGCAAGAATGTGTCTGCTGATCTAAAAAGATTAAGAGAAAGCGAATCAAAATATGACTCCCAGCTGTCTTTGAAATCTTAAAATAGATTTCACAATACACAACAGGCCCGTAGCTAGGGGGGGTGCAGGGGGTGCGTTCGCGAGCTAAAGGTCCGCTTTTTAAGCAAGTGAGATTTTGGCTGGTATGATATTTTCACGTGAAACTAAGTCAAAAAAATCAATTTTACTTTAATAATTTATCTATACCTATGCATCCTATGGGACTTTAAAAAAATAAAGTATATGGTTGGTCCACTTTTTGTAAATTAGCACCCCCCCAACAAAAATCCTAGCTACGGGCCTGCACAACAAATACTAGAAAAATACATACAAAAATACTACGCACACATAAACAAAGAAGACTTTTCCTGTGATCCGCCCTCGAGACGATATCACGACATTGAAAAACAACAACAAATACGATCAACTGAGATCGACGTTTTTCGTGGTCATGTGATGCTAGGTAGGTATCGTAGAACATACAGTCGTCGTTTATAAAGTAGGGTCAAAAGTAAAGGGAGTGAAAACTATAAGTTGAGTTAAAACAGATGGTAGAAAATGTTAGGTCTTTCAGCGCTTGACCACGTATTTCACGGAGCTCAGTTGTGTTTTGTACAATGAACTGTTACATTTAAAAATCGAAGCAAAAAAACAGGCACCTCTAGTGCATTTAAAGAATGCTGTCACATAAGGGAGCGATTGTCTGGCTTCCAGCTTTTACATCAACCCCTCTCCTTCTCTTATTTGTGACCTTCAATATTGTGATAAACGATGAATGAAATCGAAGCAAGCATTCTTCTTCATGCAGGTGCCATTTATTATTCAACCCTGTTATCAAACACGAAAATGCAAACAAGGTGAGTCGGTACTAAGATAGTCCAGACTCAGGCCCCTCCTTTGACCGCGTTTGTTGGACTGCCTGGGGGGGGCCAGCTTCTGGACTAGTACTCAGATAACAGATAAATAACAGGTTTGAATAATAAATCCAGTGAGCCTTACCCATAGGGTCAGCATGGCGTTCCCTAGGGTCAAAGGCGTGTTACAAATATTTCACCAAGTCGAATTTTATGAGTCTGGAACAATTCCACTTAAACATTACTTAATGCTTATAAAAATGGAGTATTGCTCCAAGCTGGAGGCTTTGTAGATAAATGCCCTCGGCACAAAAGCCCTGATTAGAGGCAAAGAGACAGCTACTGTATATTCGCCGATCACCAACTGACGTCTCTGGCTCTTTTTATCATGAAAAGTACTGAACTATTTTTACTGACTATTTCCTTAACACAGCGAGAGGTCTAATAGTCTTACACAAACTCTATCTAGTTGGACTGCATAAAGATAACAGAAATAAACTGACAAATTTTAATTTATTTTTTCAGTCGGTTAAAAAAAGGAATTAATATTTATCTTAGCCAATCAACTGCACGATCTGCAGTCCACTAGCTTGTCATAATAATACAGATGATACTAGCATTCTGTAAAGCTATTGGCTAAATCCATATTTTTTTATAACGAAAAAGAACAATTACGTGGGAGTAAATTAGCATAAATGCATTAAAAACAAATGACCCTGTAATATAATATAAGCAAGACTACTCCGACAAATGCTTACTAACGTAATTCCTAATTACTAACGATTCAAAACTATTAGTTAAGAGTATATGCCTTTCTTATATTATATCCAGGCATTGATTTTTGTAAAGTATGATTAAAAAGCTAATAAGGTACTTCCCTGTTCATCTCGGGCTCCTTGCTGTAGAGCACATCGTGCCTTTTGTTTCAAACGATGGTCTGCCTCCCTCAATATTTTCGCTTCTACTTTCCTATCGGTCAGGTGGTCTAGTACACCAGCAATTCGATCCAGAGTAATAAGAGATTCATTATTCGTTGCGTTAAAGTATTCCAATAGAGCTTGTGCTGCTCCACCGTTATCTTTTATCAGTTTTTTGGCCATGTCCAACTCAATATCAAGGGCACGTGAAATGCTGTAGAAGTGTTGTTCCATGAGAGGGTGTACTTCTGAGTTTAGCCGACGACAGAATTCACCATATGCTGACCACTCACTTCGGTCGTTGATGAACTCTTTCAATGGACGTGACTCCGATTCTGCATTTAAAAAACAAATATGCTTATTTTTAATTAAGTTAAACTACTAAAGATGTTAACAATAAATACACAGTAAATTTGAAAGGACCAATTTGGCCCCAGAGAGCCATTTTGGCTTTTTCAAAGTAGTGCTATTTTACCCCAGGCTAGGGCCAAACTAGAAAAATGCCATTTTGGCCCCACAAAAGGCCCCATTATTGGGGCCAAAACCGTTCTATCCGATTTACCGTGTATATTACTAGAGGTGTAATAATGTTTTGGTCAATATTTTTTGTTAGTTTTTTAGGACGAAGCAAATATTTTTTTATGAATATTTCATTTAAATCTCTAATTAATACAAAGCACAAAAACATGTATATAAATATATTGCTGTTTTTCTTTTTCTTACTACCTTTTTCAAACACGTTCTGCTTCTCTATCGAGTCATTGTTGGAACATCCGTCTTCTTCGGCACCACCGCCGGCAAGGGCTTCGTGACACGGTCGGCCCTGCTCATGATCACAATCTACATTGAAGCTTTCATCGGATGTCGACTGATTTTTTTGCACACTTACATTCCGCCGTTTTCTTCGACACCAGAAACCTCCGATAACCAAAACTATGATCACTCCAGCAACGATCCCAAATACATACCATCCATTTGCAGTGGGGCCCATACTGTTATTATTATAAACACTATTGTTAATTATTGGACGATTGTAGGCTGCCGGTTGCTTTGTGCTGGTAGATGCTGTGGTTTTCTGATCGGTAGTAAAAGTTTCAGTCCGAGGTACTCTCTGGAAAGACTTTTTGGCAATCACTGAAGAAAGATTGCAAATTCTGTCTTGACGAAAGCTGCATTGTAGGTTTCTGGGCAAACCCTGTCTTGCACATTCTTCAATCCGCTCATCCTTTGCATCCCCGCAACAAGGCGAACATTTTTCACAAGTTGACAAATGAGGATCTCGAAACTTGTAATAACCTTTTTTACATCCACCACATTTTGTGTCAGCAGAACGTGTGCAATGCTTTATGATCTCATGATTTGGCTGACATGGAGTGCACTTCTTACAGGCGTCAGAAGAACGGGCTTCTGAGAAGGTCTGCCGTTTTTTGCACTTTACGCATTTGATGGGAGTTTGAAGAGGAGCGTCCACAACGTCACCACAGGAATAAGTCGATCCCCATCTTCGAGGACATTCAACACAAGGTAAGCACATTGTGGTGCCATTAGGCCAGCGGACTGTGATCTTTGTCTTGTCACATATCTCTTTTGCAGAGGCCTAGAATTAAACATCTCAATATAAAGACTATGAACTGAACGAGGCTTTATGTTCGTGCTGCTGATATATGTTGACCGGGCAGGTTTTAGTCCTAAGTAACGTTGGGGTAGTAGGGCATGAAACTGAACTGAGGGAGTGAACAATCTAAGACTGTATCCTACTGTTCTGACTGTATGGGGTTCTGTCAGTTGGCGTATAAGGTTGGAACAAGGCATGGAACTGAAGGGAGTGAACAATCTAAGACTGTATCCTACTGATCTGACTGTATAGGGTTCTGTCAGTTGACGTATAAGGTTGGAGCAAGGCATGGAACTGAAGGGAGTGAACAATCTAAGACTGTATCCTACTGTTCTGACTGTATAGGGTTCTGTCAGTTGGTTTATAAGATTGGAATAGGGCATTGAACTGAAGGGAATGAACAATCTAAGACTGTATCCTACTGATCTGACTGTATGGGGTTCTGTCAGTTGGTGTATAAGGTTGGAACAGGGCATGGAACTGAAGGGAATGGACAATCTAAGACTGTATCCTACGGTTC